ACAGTGAATACACATGATCACAGTGAATACACATGAATACAGTGAATACACATGAATACAGTGAATACACATGAATACAGTGAATACACATGAATACAGTGAATACACATGAATACAGTGATATAAGTAACGTTATAAGTATATCCTATATCGTGTATGTATACAGTGTAGAACCATGCATAATAGTGCCATTACATGGGGTCTTACATGAAGTACTGACCTCTGAAATTCTTTTGTTTTCTATTAACGCGCGCATGCGCAGTACAAATTGCCTATATGCTGGAGGGAACCATAATCATCAGTGAGAGCAAGTTTCGAGAAAAACTGAATTTGTAAGCCACAAAAAAACCGCTAAAATGTAAGTAAAATTTGATCTTTTAACGCTATAAGGATCACTCTATGTTATACTTGGCTCTTTAAGAATGTAGTTTGCCAGAAATCGTTGCTTTCGAAGTTTAATTTGAAGTCCATTCGTAAAATATTTGAATGACACTCGTTTGAGTTGAAAATTCGTCTAGATTAACTTTGATTTTTGAATTTTCTCTTCTTCACAGGTCGTCCAAAAGACTCCAGCAAACCCAAGCACAAGTAGATGAGGTAAATATTAAGTATAATGCGAGTTTATCCTGGTTTGGAGGCATTCTTTACCGTTACCTAAAGGCTGGAGGCTGTCATCAGCACCATCATCATTCAACATCGTTCAATGCGATCCAAAATACGGTCTAAACTCAAACGATCTTTTTAAAATTTTTACTAACATGAAGTTGATTACGATCGTTAAGCACATCCGATTATTAAATCGGTAACTTTTGTTCCATTCTGTTCTGTAGGTTGTAGACATTATGAAAATTAATGTCGATAAAGTTCTTGAGAGGGATGCAAAGTTATCAGAGCTTGACAATCGTGCTGGTTAGTAGAGTATCAAATAGCCAAGTAACATTATTTCTTTTCTTTTCTCTTTGTTTTCATTGATAATAATTATCATTTGGAGTTCTTTCGATCCAAACTTAATAAATAATCTCATTGAATTACCACTTCATACACTACTAAGGAGGTGTGGATAAATAGAATCTACAAATCCCTTAAAGGAAGATATTTATTTGTAATATTCGGTATGTTATTTTTATATGAAATTTAGTTAAGATAGAAGTTATTATCAGTCATTTTAACAACATTTCCATTAGCTGGCTTAATTGATTTCCTGTTTATTCAGAATCTGAGCAGATCCCTATATTGCAAACACAATCAAGTCACCACATCACATATCTCAACCAATGTTATGATATACATGTAATTGGGGTTAAATACAAAAAAGTCTATATTTGCATCATTCTCTGAAAGTTTAACATTGTCTCCCCGATTAGTAGGGCACTTGTGCCCGGCTAGAAGAATTAGAGACATTAATAAAGTTATTATTATTATTATTATTATTATTATTATTATTATTGCTACAATTTTCATAAACACGCAAACTCCTATTTGTTGTTTGCTGCCGTCAATCAAACCTATTTCATATTTTTAACTGGCAGCATGCAGCGAAAAACCAAATTTCATGTTGCAACTCAGAGACACAAGTTCGCATATATATGAAAATTGCAGTTAGGGTACTATCATTGCTATTGCTATTGGTAACCAATACTGAATGCTGTTGAAATGCTCTTTATCCACATACTACAATCAATAATATTTCAAAGAGAATGCTTATCTTAAGTGATGAGAAAGTTTGGAGTATGAAATCTTGAGTAAATTGAAACTTAAAATTTTGTACAATAGTTAAGAATGTTTATAGAGTGGAAACAAGGCCCGTAGCTATGGGGGGTGCAGGGGGAGCGTTCACACCCCCCCATGCGAGCTAAAGGTCTGCTTTTTAAGCAAGTGAGATTTTGGCTGGTATGATATTTTCACGTAAAACTAAGTAAAAAAAATCAATTTTACTTTAATAATTTATCTATACCTATGCGTCCTATGGGACTTTTAAAAAATAAAGTACATGCATATGGTTGGTCTACTTTTTGTAAACTAGCACCCCCCCAACAAAAATCCTAGCTACAGGCCTGAAGCGTGAAACTTTAGTAATACTAAATAGCACAATTTCATGCAAATTCCATTTGTTTTCTATTGTTTAATTAGCACTATTTTGTACTATTTAGTAATTAGTGTTTCACGGATTAATTGTTTGCACTCTAGTGTTATATTATTCGTAATGTTGAATTCCCATCAGAGTTGTGTCCTGGCAAGTATTTTTTTTCTCAAATGCTCACCAAATTTATATTCTTCAACACATCTTTTTCTGTGTCTATGAATCTTTGAGATATTATGAATGCTCTGATTGGACAAAATCATGTCTATATCAAAGGATCGGAAAAGATGCACAGGCTGCTCAAATGATTTGTTTATTATATGAAAGCAATATAAAACATCCGGTGGTTTTTATAAACTGTGATATAAATATCTTGTTTATATCGTCTGTATATACATGTAAACAAGTGTACTTTTTATGTTTCTAATAGATTTACATACCATGTATTTTCAACATCTGTTTTCAGAGTCTGCTTATATATCAATGATAGAAAAATGGAGCAAACGAAGAATAATTAAACCCTCTTGTAAAGTTGACCAACTTATGCAATATCAAGGACCACCCTAAAAATGGGGCGCTAAGATTGGAAAATATAAGAGATTAGTTTGGGAAAAGGGAAAAAGTGTGGAGGGGGGGGGGGGGGCTATAGCCCCCCCAGCCACCCCCCTGTCTCCATATTTCCTGGATTATTATTGGAGTATTATCATTACCATTATAAGAACCATCATGATTTAGTCATTTTCAAAATCCTATTCTAACATGTTTGTTAAATCAAATATCAGAAGAAACTTGATATCATGTTACCAGTCCTCTGGCCATGTATCAATATGCAAGATAACAAGGCAAAGACCAAACAAAGATAAATGAGAGCTGAATTATTTTTTACTGTATTTTTCTGCATCACAAGTACATCTCAGTTGGTTAGTGCCCAGAGGTCCACAGTTTGATCCCCAAGGTCTCCACAAATGTTTTGACTTCTCTCTTTTCTGTGTAGCTTTAGCTTTAAATAACTGTTATGAGGAGTAAAGGGTGTGCCTTTGAATGCTTTAACATGAACCCCTGGCTTGGGAGAATTGGGCAACCACTCCTTACAGTTTYGAAGTAGAAAAATTATCTTTACCTTCTTTAACACACTTTGAAAACATCTCTAAAGGCATTTGTGAATTTTGAACTCTTAACTATCTCAGTAAGAAGGCCATTTCTTTAATTATCAACTCCTAAGTTGAATTATTTTCAGAATTTTTTTTTTAATGATTGGTTGTCTGGTAAATAGCACACTATTTTTAAATGAAATATTTATACCATGCTCTAAATTTATGGTAGTTTAGACATATCTATTAGTATGTTTACAGTTTACAGACAATGTTAAGCCATTTTTGACAAATGCATTTCCTTAGAATTTCTTTCTTTCAAAATTGTAATAGTTATTGTCAGATTTGTTCAATCCTGTACCCATATTAGTTAATAATCTATAAATCAAAGCAATAAATATCTCATTTTAACATATTTTATTTTCAAAACTTGATAATAAGCAATTGTACAATTTGTACAGTAAATATAATGGAACTAACTAAGGGAATATATTAGTATACTAGATAAAAGTGTCTCAATCATTCTACACTGCCCTAGGGACATGAAAGGTAAATTATTGTATTGCAGATTAAGTGATATATGATAAGTATAAGCTTTCTAGGGCAAGAGTAATATTTTTAATTTTCATATCATCAGCCAAGTTGTCTCTCCTTTTTAGTAAAAAGATTTTTTTTACATTTATTAGATATTGGTTTCTAAAGCAATAATCAATCTTGACATAAACTTTCCACCATAATATTTATTCAAGTTTTTTATTCTCTCTTTGTAAGATGCTCTTACTGCTGGTGCCTCTCAGTTTGAAACTAGTGCCTCGAGACTTAAACGTAAGATGTGGTGGCAAAATTGCAAGGTGCGTACTCTGCCAACAACTCCTAAATAAGCATATGTAATAGGACTCCATGCTCATAATTGGACGAGGAAAATTCCGAGGACTGACAAAATTGGATGAGGCCGTAGGCTGAGTCCAATTTAACAGTCATAGGAATTTTTCGAGTCTAATTATTTCTTGATTGGGGAGCATGAAATCCCATTACCTATTAATTATATAGCTGCCTAATCCCATATCAACAAGACCTGTCCAATTAAGAAAATAATTGGACAGTTACCTATATGGGATTAATGAGAAGCTGTAAAATTATAATGATAATAATATTGTATTGATAGTAATATCAGAGGATTTGTGTTTTGTTTACTGAGTATTGATTGAGCTGATTTATTGTGATATAGATATTAGCAGTATATAAAAATGGTATTAACGAAAGCATAATTTCTTTCAGATGTGGATAATCTTAATTATTGTTATCCTCGTAATTATTGCAGTGATTGTCAGTAAGTATTCATGTGTTATGACAAATAATTGCTTTTAAATTTAATTATTTTATATTTTACTCTCACTTCTGATTGGCCAAAAGCACTCCGCTAGTCCCTGATATTGGTTGAACTTGACWTGATAAATGTGATATCTGTAGGTATTTATGCAGTTAATTTATTTATCATGTCAAGTCCACAATGGAGATTGAATACCTTTCCTTTTTTTCTTTCCAAAGCAGAATTAAATCTTTATTTTTAGTTATAAAATGTATATCTAAGTTATCAACACCATGGATGTTTTATTATCCACCTCAGCCTACAGCTTCAGCAGATAACCCAACCTTGGGCTTGATGATTTACRATATACAGTAATGCATATAACTTTTTATTACATAATTACCAATGAAATATCTATTTTTCTCTATTTCGAAAAATTGATATCTTCACACGTGAAAATAACATGTTATTTTCAC